GAAATGTGTAATATACTGGTCGCCGAAGTTATGTTGAAAATATACAACTGATTCAACACAGCACTTGTGCTCGTTTGAACAAAGACCACACGTGGCTGAAGAGCACCCCAGCTTTCCTAATTCCTAAGTAAAGGTTTTCCAGCCAAGACTTCGACATATTCGTATGCGTTGCTTAGTCGTGCACAAAAGTTGACACCATTTCGTCGAGATCACAAGTGGTTAGAGGATGGCAAAAATTCAACATCAAAACTTGCTTGGTTGCCGAGTTGAAATATCCGAACAAACACGTACAAACATACATGCACATGTACACTCACACGCGCACTTATACACACATATATGCACACACACACACACACGCACACACACACACACACACACACACTGCACAGAATACTTTTTTGCATTTGCATATATGCAAGAACCCACGAAAAGTATTATAGTGAAATCAAGTGTGTTTGTGAGTATGAATGTGTATCTATCTGAATAATTCTAAGCCCAGTATACTGAGCACAGGAACTGAAATTTGATTTTATTATACCAATCCAGGCATTGTAAATGAGCTTAGCATCCATCCGCTGTTGTGGTTTGTGGCTAAATTATTGGCGATGCGCATCGGTGGGTCCGTACGATTATGCGTTTTTGGAATATTTCTTGCTGTAATGCGATCGCTCGGAAACCCAGTAGATAAAAATGTGAAATATACTGTTCCCCGTAGTCCAAGAAGCTAATATTTTACGCAATATTTGGACAAGGAACATCCGTTCAAATTTCAGCTTTCCAATTTTTTGGCTCTTGAATTAGCAACTTTCCTGTCAAAAATCTTCACGGAGCTGTTCGTGAGTACCACATACACTGAAAGATTGCATTTGATAATTGTAGGCTGAACTTGTGCTGGAAATATTCCGTGAAAATTTTAGCTCCCCAGCTTTCCTTGTTCCCGAGTTAGTCACTTTTACGCCAAGAAGTTTCACGGACCGTAAGTTTCACGGGCCGTAAGTGAATTAAAGTTACCAAAATCAGCCCCCCACAAACACTGAGGGGCTGATTTTGGTAACTTTAGTTTGTACAAATGCTGAGAACATATCCTGGAAATTTCAGCCTCCCAGCTTCCCTGATTCCCGAGTTAGCCATTTTCCCGCCAAAAATTTCCATGGGACCCAGGCACGCCTGGGGACTGAATTTGATAAATTTCAGTTGTACGTGAACTGGGAACATCCCCTTTAAAGTTTCAGTTTTCTAGCTTTTCTGAATCCCAAGTAAGCGATTTTCCCACCAGAAGCCTTTACGAGGCTGTACATGAGAACCACGCATGTCTGGAGGCTGAATTTGAAATCTTTAAGTTCTATGTGGACGGGGAAAATAACTGCTAAGTTTCAGTTTTCTAGCTTTTCTGGTTTCCGAGTTAGCGATTTTTCCGCTAAAAATTTGAGGCGCTCTTACGCGGGGCCTAGAGGTGCGTGAGGGCCGATACCGCGGGGCAACTACTAAAGCTCAGCTCGGCTTGGCTCGGGTAGCCCTCGGCTCCCCTCAGTTTCAACTTGGCCGGCCCCGGCAGCAACACGAATTGCCGATTTATGGGCAGACATATAGTGAGGGAGCAGGACGGGGGACAAGGGGAAGGACAGGGCAGGGAGGGGGGGGGGAAGCGGGATCAGGAGGAAGGTTGGGAGGAGGGGGGGGCAAGAGGGATGGGGGAAGTAGGGGGCAGTGGGAACGGATGGGGAACAGGGGGATGGAGAGAAGCAGGAAGTAAAGATAGAGGAAGGTACAGAGAGGAATGTGGGAGGGGGCTGCCGTGTGGGAATAGTGATCGCTGGTCGGAGGCATTGGGGAAGGGGTGCTGGGATGAGTTGAGTGGGAACGTGGCGTGGCAACGTAGGGGAGAGGGGTGATATGCGGATGGGAGAAGGA